TGAAAGGGCCAGTGAATGGATGACACAGCATTCATCCTTCCACGAGTCCTACTGATGAGAGCTCTTGGGCAATCTGGCTCCACATCAGGCCCTCGACAATGGCTCTACATCTGCGTTTTGTGCAGCCATTCTAAGGGCTATTCAGTCCCTGTGACAGCCAAATCCTTTGCCAGCAAGCCAGGCCTTGACAACACTCTGTCCCAGAGCTGGGCATCCCTGGGAAACCTTGACTACAAAGCACAGAGACACAGTGGGAGGGCAGGAGGAAGTGACAGCTAAGTACACATCCAAAGGGCGACAGGCAGCTAAGGCAGGACTGAGGCACATTTTCACAAATGTGCACTCTGGGAGAGCCCAGATTCATAAAGTAATTTGAGGCTTTCATTACCAAGTTCTCAAGATATTTTACAGAGAAAAAATAGAGTAACAGAAATTTTAAAATATTATATCATTTCATTACAGACAGCTAAACTGGGCAGAAATACCATAGACAATCAGACAGGGGTAGACCTCGGAGAGAGCCAGGACAAGGTGAAACACATCTCATCCATGGCTGGAGACATCTCATCTGTTGGAGACAAGGCGTCCAATGAAATGACCAGGCGTGTATACTTCCTTGAAAGACAAACACCAGGCCTGGTAAAGCCTACATTGACATCAGTCACCCCAGGGAGTAACCAAGACCTCCAGACCCATCATTTCCTTTAAAAAAAAGTCCTTGTTCTTTCCATCTGCCCTTGTTACATGAGTTCTTTCCCACTGGATAACTTTACCTAAGCGACTACACTTGCACACTTATTGGTGAAGCACAGATGTAACCCACACTGTACCCACACGTGCACTGCTCCATAAAATTTCCTGTAAAATGAGGTCCTCCAGAAACCCACTGAGGCCCTCTCCTGCCTCTCAGGAGCTGTCTCTTTCCCTCTCAACCAGTATCTTCCTGCTGTTAAGCTCTGTTGTTCCTAGAATTCACTCCTCCATTTTTAGAGAATGCAAACTTGGCATATCGGACATCTAGCAGCCTGGTAGTTACAATATTTTCCCCTTATTTCATACTTGGAGACTCTGATATCACCCCGTAAGAGACTCACTATAAATTCTGAGTCTGAGCTGCCCCAGGTATTTCCAAACATGTCATGTTTTAATTGGCTTCCCAGGCAGACATCTGACAGTCTACAAGTCACATTCTCATAATCTTATGTTGATTTGCTAAAGAAACTTCTTGTTTCTATGACAACCCTCATCAATTAACTCCTCATAAACAGCAGGACAATTTTTTCTTTCTCTTTCTCCTTCCAATGAAGCCTGAATTTCTCCTTCCAGGGAAAATAAGTCCTGGAAACTACATCACACTAGCAACAACGCTGGGTGTATCCTTGGCATTTTAAAAACATCTGGAGATTCTGCGCAGGGAAAGCACACAGAACGGCCCTGAAGCCAGGGTACGAAGGGCGAATCAGCGCGTAGCTGTGCTTCTGGTCCTCTTTAGCTTCCCACATGCAGCTTTGCCTTGGCCTCCTCGCTTACCCCAGAGACCTGGGGCCTGGCATTCAGGCTGGAGCCCACGCAAGCAAAGACAACGGTTCTGCCCCTTGACGTCAGCAAAGTGCAAAACCAGGGACAGCCACTGGTGCATGCAACAGGGAAATTTCATCTCTGTTAACATGAGAGGATCCAGAGCTGCGGCGTGCCAGAGCTTTAACCTGAGCTTTATTCTTCAGGCCAAGAATCGACAGAAACAACAAGATTCAGGGAAGACACTGGAGTCCAGTGCCATGCTTAGGCCATGAGGTCCGCTGAGCTAATCTGCCCTAAGCACATTAAATTCTGAATCTTCTTCTCTCTCCTATATAAAATGGCACTGCTATGTGATGATCGCTAGTGTACACTGGGAATTCTCTCTCTCGACCCAACTCTCTTCCTGTCTACCCAAATCACTCTTGTATCCCAAAGTCCTCTCCGAAGCCGAAAGAAGAATGAGGACACTTCCTGTCCCAAAGCTGCCTGTGTCTGACAGGGCAGCCCAACCCCTGCACACCCAGGCTACCTTTCCCAGCTCGTCTCGGGTTATTTCTCTCATTCATTTCCCATCGGAGCCAAGCCAACACAGGTCTATGACATGCTTCCAGGTCTATTGCATCCACCTCCTCCAGTTCTATGCGTGTCCTATTTTTCCAGTGTCCCCTTGTGTGAAATACCCACCCTGACCCTGTCCATTTAACCATCTTTGGCTCAAAACCCTCAAAGTCAGGGATCTCTTCACAAACACTACCTTTCCAGCAATGCCATGAGCTAGCTCCTTCCAAAAGAAATTAACAGCGAATTTTACCAGGCAAAATCATCTCACTCTTTTGGTTGCAACATGAAAACATTTTATTTGGCACCGAGTGTGAAGATATATAGCTGCCATTTCATCAGAAAAGCCAGAGGCAAAAAACTATGGTCCTGTGTGTCTGGAGTCTGAGCTGCAAAAATCAATGTTATTCAGAAGTCAATTGACAAGAAATCATCCCAAAGCAGGCAGTCACTGAACCGTGAGCAAAAGCAGCACAGCTAGGAAAACATGCCACCTGGAAAATGAGCTAATCCACATCTACTCTAATCCCGATGTCTCTATGAGGTCCAAGATGTGTCCTTTCTAATGCAGTTACACTTTAAAATCAGTATTTGAATCACTGAGATTCAAATACATTGAGTCATCTGTACGCAGCCTGTCTGTAGCTTTCCAACACCATGAAGCTGTATGAGGCTGCATGAGACTGTACTGTGACCACAGGCAGGGTTATAGCAGTGGTCCCTGTCCCTACACAGGCATCGGGGGCTGCATCGAGCCAGGTCATCGAGCCAGGTCACAGCAGATGCTCTGTATCTGAGCACAAAGGTGGCTGGTGATGTGGACAGGCAGGTGACAGCCATCTCAAGCGGCACAGAGATGCACCCTTCAGAACAGCACAACCCCATTCATAAATACTTCTTTGAAGTATCTGGTAGCCTTTTATATTTTGGTCCTATTCCCGAGGACATTTTTGGCATTTGTCTAAATGACGTAACACTGCAGTAGAACTATGGTATGACACAAATTATCACCAAGTTATTAAACACAGTCTCATTTCTCAATTTCCACTATTAATTTAACTGGAAACCATTCACTGTTTTGAGGTTGGTGGTTTTGGTATGGTGGCCATTACTTTTAGCAACCCAAAGGCACAGATGTTGTCAAACATTTTTCAGTCTCAGGTTCATCTTGAAAACTGTTTATTAATGACCTCCATGCAGCATTCAGCAGTGTTCAGTGAGACTCTTCACACAATAAACACAAAGTAAGACAAGGACCTGATTAAAAAGTCAGCAAGCGTTACTTCCAGAGGGGCCCCAAAGAAAACACCACACATGTGTTGTTGGAACACACCTCCATCCGCAGGATTCGGAATTAGTGAGTCTGAGTTCTGGAAAGAAGGGGACTGAGCTACCTATGGGCATCAGAAGAGGCAGTTCTGTGTGGGCCACACAGGTCCACGCAGGCAGCCACAGACCATGCAGCTCCCGTGTCCTCAAAGTGTCTTAAAGTTTTCTTTCAGAGCATCCCAGCTCGAGTTGAAGGCCTTCCTAGCCTCTGATTCCCAGGGAGGATGCAGGTTAGATAAGGACAATGGCAGGCTGGGTTGTCATTCTGTGTTAAGTACCACAGTTCATGGTCATCAATTTTCTTCCCAAACCAAAGATGTCTTTGAACACCGCTGGTGACGGGAGGAATGGGGCTGATGCCATGGATGCACACATCACCCCACGCGCTCTAGCCTGTGTCCTCTCAAGCCTTGTTGGCTACATCTGTGGTGTTTAAAAAAAGAAAGGGGAAAAAAGGTGTCGTTTGTGATAAGACAGCAGCAAGACTGACTCACCAGAAGCGAGGCAGGAAGCTGGTGTCAGGAGAAACCGACAGAGAACACAGATCGGGTGTCTCACCCACCCAGGCAGGCTGCAAACTCAACGGGGTGGGAATATCCCATCAGGACAGAAGTGGCCCACAGCTGGGGTCAGCGGCCTTCAGCTAGGTGCCTGGAGTCAGGGGCAGAGCCTGCCTGGGATGGAGAAGATGTGGACCCACCTGGCTTATTTAATGTAAAAACAGGGAGCACCCTGACCTAAGTGATAATTTATTATGTTAAAAGAAAACATTCTGAGTGGTAAAAGTTAAAAACTCAGTTGTTAACTTGCAGATTTCTGCAATATCTGTTGAAATACAGAGGATAAATAATATTACCCCCAGGTGAACTTGAAAATGTTTGTAGAAGCCTAAAATAAATTTCATATATATTACACACAAAGAAACATATAGTAGAGAGACCACCAAAAGCTAAAAGGACTTAACAACAGCAGGATTATGATACCACACTAAGTAAGGATTCATGCTGCATTTTACAATTCCCCATCTCTTAAATATCAGTCCTTGCAAAATGCACCATTACTGTACAAGCTCCACGTGACAACCTCTCCCACTGAAGAAATCCAAAGAAATCTAAGAAATGATTCAAAACACTGAATGTTTTATTCCTAAGAAACTAAAAATATTTTTAATTAACTTCTGATAATATGAATCTACTGCTGATCCTATCATTAGATTAAGTGGAGTAACAAAGCAAATATATCTGTAATTAACTAATAAATACAGAAAAAGACAAAATAAGCCTAAATAGCCAAAAGTTCAAACCCAATAATGTGTTGCAACTTCTGATTATAGAGAAACATCCAGTCCCTCCCCGGTATTTGTGTTAGACACCAGGAGGGCGTCTGTCCACTGTCAAAACTCTCATCTGGTGGAAGGCTAGCAGTCTCCAGCCCTTCTGAGCAATCCTTTGTTCATCTGTGTCCTAATGTTTGTGCTCCAATGCTGCATGGATGTTGCTTTTGTTACTCCATAAACCGTTTTGTATTCCAACCCACCACACGAAGAAAGGCAGACCTGGGAAGCCAAGCAAAGGTGACAGGCGTATCCTTACCTGCAGGCCTTCGATAGCTAACCGCAGCATGCTGGGTGTGAGTTTAGAGGCTTGCTTGAACGTGAAGTTACTCCAGTCTATGATCAAAACAAACCCATTGACTTGCAGCTCGGGATCTTCAATCATGGCTTCTAAAGAAAGCAAGATGGCACGCAAGATATCCACCAGCGTGTACCTAACAGCAATAGGAAAGCACCAAATTAACCTGACGGTCACTTGTGTGGAGACTCTAGATAGTTTCTTAGCACACAAAGACCCCCTTTAAACTGCCTCAGAATCTTAAGGAAGTTATTTTAACTAAAAGCTTCTTTTAAGAAGTTTCCTTAATATCACTCTGGGGACACATGAGGAAGTTGCATGAATTCCACCCAAATAGTGACCTGAAAATCCTACTATTTCACAAATGATAGCCATGTTAATTTCCTCCAGGCCTTGCTATCATTTTCTGAAATCTCAATTCGACTTCTTCTGAAAGCTGACATCGCAAAAGTGCCCTCATGACGCCGTCACTTCTGTTCTCGTAGAGCTGCCCTCATATTGATCATCTGCTTTTGTGGATTCAACAGAGAATTAAAATTTGCTTTTGAATTTTTTGAGACAGGGTCTCATTGTGTAGCTCAGGCTGGACATGAACTCCCACAATCTTCCTGCCTCAGTCTCCTGGGTGTTGGGATTACAGGTGTACCCTCCCTACCCCACTCAAAAATGTTATTTGAAACTGGAAACCTAACTTCTGCACTGATCACATACAGACTTTTTTCTTGACTAGGAAATAAAGTGTAGGACGATTTGCACACCAATGGGTCCTACTGGGTATAAGTGACCAGGAGATCATTTAGCAAGAGATAAGCTATAGTGTATACAGAGAAAGCACACACATCACATGCAAATTCCATGCCACTTTACACGGGGATCTAAGCATCCGTAATACTGGGGGCAATGGAGGGCAGTACTCTGACGATACCCAGGGCCAACTGCACTTGAAAACTTAAGAACAGGTGTGAAGGTCTCTTCAGTCAACAACAGCACTGAAGGGCGCTATGAAGAGAAGCGTCAGCACACTCCAGTAACTGCCACTGCACTTGTATCAAGAAGGCAGAAGAAGGGAAGGAGAGACGGTAGGAAGAAAGCGAGTTCAGGAGGAACAAGGGATGGAAATCTGCCCTCTAATAACATGCATCACCCAAACTAGGGTGGGACTTCAGTTTTTTCGGTCTTGCATAAAAGCACAGTTTTTCAGGCATGCTAGATTCCCAGGAAGTGTACCAGTTCCTAAAATGGGACAGCAGCAGAGTGCAGGTAAGCCAGGCAGAGGCATTTTAGAAGCACCTTGTTACAGGTTGATATTTGATTAGATGTGGACACTAAAACCAAGGTAAGAGTAAAAAATGACTCATAGATTCTAGCTTCAGAGCCTGAGGAAATGCAAAATCTTTCCTCAAAATCAACTGTACATTCATCCAGAAATTTCTGGGAGATGGGTGAGAATGTAGAGCTTTGAATACAATCTGCTGTATTTGAGAAACATGTAACACACTCCGAAAGATGCATCAAGTAAAATAGATTTAAAAACAGGTTCTAAACTCAGTGAGAACTTAACACTGAAAATTTTAGACTCCAAAGCCCTCAGATCCTACAATCAAGGAGATGGAGAGCATAATGCAGCATAAAAGAACTATCAGACAATTACTGTAAAACAGGATCTCTCGGAAATATCAGCATTTTAAAAGAAAACAAACTGATGGTGGATGTTAACAATTTTGATTTTTATACAGCCCATACTTTAAGATTTTTTTTTGTCTTAAAACACACAGGTAAAGTCTGGGGAATGTTACACAGTCCTGGACCTCAGAGAGAGGTAGATGTGGAGGGACTGGGGTACGAGCGAAATCACTGCACCTTAGCGTGGTGCTGGGCTCATGCCCCAGACAGTGGGTGCTCAAGGGGAAGAGACAGCCCACACCATGCAAGCACGTTCTGCCAGCTGCTGCTTCCAACTCAAAGTGCACCCATTTTCCTGCAAAGGATTCAAGGTTTCCTAACACACGGCAGAGCAGTACTTACTGTGTGTAGATCACACATTCAGCCCCTCCAGGATTTAGTTATTGTGGGCTCTGCTGCTGCAGACGTGGGTAGGCGTGGCTCACTATAACATGATACCTTTAACTCCTTTAGGATGACACCTAGAATGGGAGTAGCTATGTTGAAGGAGTTTCTTGTTTAAATTTTTGAGGACTCTCCCACTGACCTGTATATCTAATACAGGGACTAATACCTAGAATGTATGAAGAACTCAAAAATATTAGCACCACCCAAAATAAAAGACCCAATCAAAAATGACAAGGGAAATGAACAGACACTTCTCAGAAAAAGTACATATGTTAAGTACGTGCTAAAGCAAAATGAAAGGTAATAGGCACTAGAGAGACCATGTTCCTCAGATGGGAAGGGCACCAAGAGATGGAAAGGACGGGGAGAAGAGAAGAACGGAATGGAAGAGGAATGCACGGGCACCAGCTCCCCACAGGGATGGAACCTTTATTTACGGCAAATCTCTACTAACAAAAAAGAAACTTTTAAAAAGACTTTAAACAGTACAACAGTGTAACAAACAAAAACAAAAGCCCATAAAAGGGGCTCTTCAGAAAGCTTATAACATCTAACTTTCAAGAACTAATATATAGTTTTAATATTTGAAGAGACAAAACAATGTGTCTTTTGCTAAGCTTCAACACCAAGTAAATATTTTTTAAACAAAAAATTAAAAATAGAAACATTGGGAGGCAAATGGAAAAAAATGTAGTTGCTCAAAAAGATAAGAAAAATTAATAGCAGAACTTTAAGAGATCTTTCATCTTCTCAGGGCTCATTGCATCCCCTCCCCATTAGTAAAATCAGAATTTGGCTCAGAACCTCCTTTAGAATGCAAGCATTAGCCAGGCACTGGGCACGGGAGACTTTAGGACAGCATCTCTACCCCGCCCCTATAGCTGTGTGGCCCTCGGTGAGAGGTGAATCTGAGGCTGTGATGCATCTCCAGTCTACATGTCTAGTTTACAGGAGGCTGCTCTCGGTCTGAAGGAGCAGTAGCAGTGCCCCTGTTACGGTCTGAGTGCCGTGGTTGGGGTAGGATCCCCGAGCCAAGAAGGAATTCTGCTGGATGCATTTGCACAATTCCAGATACACAGCAAGTGTTCAGTAAATGTGAGTTGGAACACGCTTGCTGAAACAAAAGCCCGGAGGGAGTCCTAAGTGCAGCGCACTGGGCAGAGTCTAAGCAGACAGGAAAACCGATCTACCTGAAACATGGTGGTGATCTTTAGAATAGACTGTCTGTCATGATTATAAAAAGCAATAATCAAGACTATTTTTAACCATCTGGATGGTGTGCGGGCCTTTTTATAGCCCTAGCGGTTTGGCATCCAGACATTTCTTGAATATATAAAGGATAAAACCTTTTTGTGGAGCTTTATTATTTATTTGGCATGAAATCTGTGGAAAATGCATGGTTAATATCACTAAGGTCACTTCACAGTTGGCCTACGCCCATCGTAAACATCATGTCCTAACAGCAGGGTGATCTGCAGCCCATCAACCTGCACAGATGCGAAGGTCAGAGTTGGGAAGTTGCATCTCTGGATAAAATCAGGCGACTTAATAAAAGCCATTTTGCTATCTAAAATTGACAACAATATCATAGTAAGAAAAAATTAAAAATCAGAAAATTCCAATTTAGAATGTTCCTTCACTGTGAAGGTGATTTGTTCTTCTGTTATTTATGAGACTAGCAAAGAGTACTAATATCACAATACCACAAAATAAAGTTTGCATCTGAAATCAGTTTCAGAAGGCTGCTGCATTTCTAAGTAGTAAAAATCAATCATGCACCAGTAAGGGCTGAAAACAAGAGATGGTTTTCTTTCAAGGACCATCCCTGAAGTATGGCTCTCCTCCACTGTCAAAATTAAGAGAAAAATTTCTATATACGCCTTTATTCCAAAGCAAGTAAAGCAAGCACCAGAAAACAGCAAGCAAAGAAAGCAGTTTTGAAGAGCAAATCTAATGATTTTTTTAAATTTTAATATATTGATCCCAGCAGAGAACACAACAATCATTATGCAAATCACAATAATTTACATGTGTGAAAAGAAAACCACAAAAGCACCCTAGCTAACAGCACTCAGAGAGCAGGCCAGCCTCATTCTTGACTTAGTGTAGCCCTGTGTTGTCAAAGAGGCGTGATATTACCACCAGCACTCAGCAGGCTCCTCCTCCAAAGAGCATCTCTAAGCCAGCTCTGGGCAAGGTCTGAAAAATCCCTCCCAAAGACACGCAGCACCTACGAATTTATCCCTTCAAAAATCTCCTCTTTTAAATTAGCTTACCTTGTCATTTACACTGTAATGAAATATTTCACACATGTGTTCATGTGTGGGACAGATACCTACACTGCACAAGTTCCACAGTTGACTTTCTCCCCTTGTAAGCTGGAAGACAGCCTTAAGTAAAAACCAGCACAACACTGCAGCTATCACCAACAGTGCTACCCAAAATAGCCATCGCTAAAACTTGAATTCGTGCAGAGAGTTACAGACTATATGTAGTAAGAAGAAATCATGACACCAAGAAATTTTGCAGCTGACACCAGACCAATGTAGACTACTGCTCTTGGAAAGAAATCAAAGCTGCTATAATATATTTTTTAAAAAACTGGAAAAGACTTTGCCTCTCTGTGACTCCTAATTACTTACCATGTAATTATTCACCATCTAATCCCTCCTCAAATTTTTTAGTTATAAAATCAGTCTTCCTTGTGCAATAGGATATATGTTCATGAATTAATAATTGGGGCATTTTTACTTAAATTTATCAAAGTTGTTTTAATGTAAAACACAGATATGCCAAATAAAAATAAGGACTCTTGGCTATTTTCCTAATCTGTTTGCGCCAGTACCTTGAAGAGATTACTGAACCTTACAGTGCCTCGATTTCATCTTTATCAAATGCAGATGCTAACAGCTACCCTGCAGAACAGAATGCAAAGTACTTAGCTGAGCACCTTCCAGGCAAAACTACTTTAAGTGTTCACACCTATGATTGCCATTAGGAATTTCCTTTTTCTACCATCACATTTTCTACACTTGTTTTTTGTACTTCTAAACCATGTGCTCTTAA